AGAGCTTGGCAAAAAGATAAATCCAAAAGAAATCCAAAAACCACCTAATTAATATACATATCAGTTAATATTTATCATTATCGATTATTCGATCAAACAAAAATTTATCTTTACCATAAGAGCTAAACACTGTAGCACCAAAAGTATTCCCGTTTTTCATTTCCCACATGCCTGCCAATAATTGAATAAATCCTCCATAGAACAATGCTAAGCCAAGACCCACTTGAGGTATTTTTATGTCTAATACTTCAACTGAAAACATAGAGTAAACAAATGTAGTCATTGCAAAAGCACTTAAACCTAATGGACCAGGATTTGCAATAACATTTTTTGATCGAATTTCTTGATCTATTGGTAACATGATTTTTTTTATCTTTTGATTTTTGATTAAAATCGTTTGGCCTTTCTTTTTATTAACAATTTAGCATCGTTATGTGGCGTGATAATTATGTCATTTCCCGCCGATCTATATGAATTTAATGTATTATATGCAATAGCTTAATGGATTCATATTCTGAATTAAATAAATTTTAAATTCTTCATATACTGTAGTATATTTCATATAAGTTGGCAAATAGATTATTGCTTCTAATTCATCTCTAATTTTCATAGAAGATGGTAATCCATGTAAATTTGAACTCGATTTAGGTTTAACGGATAAAATTTCGGAACAGAATTTTTTTATCCTGATTTAACGGATTTAGCGGATTTTTATATATTAATATATTCGGTATACCGGATATTTTTTAAACCTTTCATGTCGTACATTAACAAATTTATTTCGATATAACGGATAATGATGATCATTACTGTTTTGAAAATTTAAAAAAATAACATATGATAATAATAAAATAAACGTAACGTATGATGTCAATATTTTTGGAAAAAATAGTTAAAAATAATTATGTAAAATAAAACTTATGATTTGTAAAGTTAAAATTTATGGCTTGTATAATGATTCGTGAAAATAAAAAATACCCATCTTTGTCTATAATCAAAAAAAAATTTTTTGTAAAAAAAAAAAAAACAAGCACAGAAGCTATAAAAGGTTTGGAAACTGCACTCAAATATGTACAACAAAAAAATTTGGAAATTGATTTCCAAGTAATTAGAAATGTCAATAAATTAAAGAAGGAAACTTCTTACAAAAATCCTCAAGAAAGAGTACAAACAAGGATTGAAGAATACTATATGCTAGAATAAAATACATTTAATTTTTTTTTTGTTATATATAAAAGATTGCTCAAATCCCGTAACACTGCTTTTTTCCTTACTTAGGATAGATTGTATGGTTTTGGTTTTGATCTACTATTTTTTTTTTTTTTGTAATAAATTAAATTTGTTGTTTGCCTATATTTGTAAATAAACAGTGGTACGGGAAATAAGAC